TTTTTATATAATAAAGGCGACAATCGCCGCGCGCCGACGGTCTTTAACTAGTCATTAGTCAGTCGCGAATAAAGACCGTACCGAAACGCACCGCACTCCGAAAGCAAATTATGCAAAAATAAACGAGAAATTATTTAAATTAAAATACACCATTGTATTCACCTTAACATTTGGTCCTTCGCCCKTGATCTGTGTATCAATAAAAAAAGAGAAAATTCTCAACGCGTAAAGGTGCGGAATTGATGGTGTCAAAAAGTATAACGAGGTATCGTTGCGTTTAACCTCAAAACAAATCGTTAAATATATTCAAGTTTTCTTAGTATAAAATATTCGGAGTAAAAAAAAAAAGTGCGGAGAGTGCGAAGACAGTATACGGAAGACCACTAACTAGCGCGTGTCGTATAGATTCAGTGAAGGCTAACAGTCAGCTGCGTGAAGTGTAAGGTAAGGGCGTTATTAATATTATCCTATTATTTTATTAAGGTTCCTTATAGTCTCTACCCAAACTCTAATATAGTAGCTGCTACTTGCTACGTACCACCAATAGTCACCACATTTGTATAGCCGTATTTCATAACGCCGAAATGGGGGAAGTGGATGATCTGAACTTAAAAAGAGGACAATTAAAAGCGTCAATAACACGCTTTTGGAACATTTTACAAACCTCAAAGGTCGATCCAGACGAGATAAAAGTTCGACGACAAAAAATCGAAGAGGTTTGGACGGAGTACGAACAGGTTCAATCACTAATAGAGATGCAGCAAGGAGTGAACATGGAAGCGCAAAACGAGTATAGGACGATATTCGAGGATCTGTACTTTAGGTGTGTAGCGGCAGCGGGAAAAATAATAACGCCTACGGATAGCGTGGTGGAGATTATAAAGGACATCAGTGAAACAGTGTACGAAAAGAAAGTAATGCCAGCGGTTAAATTAGCGGCGCTAAACGTACGTACCTACATTTAGCGGAAATTATTATGAATGGGCGTCTTTCTTCGATATATTTTCGGCACTAATTGACGAAAATAGCACGCTAAGTTCGATAGAAAAGTTTTTCTATTTGCGAGCGTCACTGTCCAGCGAGGCATTAACTTTGATACAGTGTTTAGAGACGACGGCAAATAATTATATGATGGCGTGGAAATCACTGGTTGAGCGCTATAATAATAAACGGGTATTAGTACAGGCACACGAAAAGGCAATATACGACCTTGAAGTAATGATAAATGAATCAGCGGCAAAATTAAGGCAATTTACGGACAAACTCTGTGGGCACATACGTGCGTTAGAGGCACTAGGCGAACGGCCGACGGATTGGGCCCATTACTAATACATTTAATCGCGATAAAACTTGATAAAATCACATTGAGATATTGGGAAACAAAATCGTCACATGATTCCAGCCTTTTCGGAATTAATTAAATTTTTGGAATCGAAATTCAAAGTATTAGAAGCGATAGATGTCGCAAAAAACATAAGTGTTCGAGCCATAACGGAACCCAGTGCCCAAAAACGGCAGGAAAAAGGAAGTACGTCGCAATTATACGTGTCTACATCGACATTGAAATGTTATAGGTGTGGACTAGTGCATACGATTTATAAGTGCCCTACATTTTGTGGTTTAAATATAGCGGATAGAATAAAACGAGTGACGGATCTAAATTTATGTAAAGTCTGCCTACGAAACACGAAGGTAAAAAATGTAACGCGCGATTTTGTTTCAAATGTCCAAAGCCGCACAAATGCACAATACGTTGTTGCACATAGACGGATCCGGAAATAAATCGACGGCAAACGGAGGAGAACAAGGTCAAACGACGGCAATTTCGATTATGGTTACACAGTTCCTAGCGGTATAAATTTAGCGGACCCAGCATTTTTAAAACCACAAAAAATAGATTTGTTAATTGGGGCAATTCACTTTTTTGATTTAATGCAATCTGTACGGCTTAAACCAATAGCAAACGGACCGGTGTTCCAAGAGACGTTCCTAGGATGGGTGGTATCGGGTCCGATAGGGTTTCCAGAAAAATCCGAATATGAACACTCGTCAAGTGCGGTATGTTTATCGGCCTTTGAGATATCGAAGACGGACTTAGAAAAATTAATCGCGACATTCTGGCGACTCGAGGAGTATAAAGCAAAGAAAATTTATACCTTGGAAGAAAAGGCGTGCAAAAATGCAAAAATGATTTTGAAAAAAATGTTAAACGGGATGACGATGGCAGGTTTATCGTGCATTTGCCGTTCAAAAAAGATATACCTAAACTAGGAAATTCATACGAGATAGCGATGCGTCGACTATTATCACTCAAGAGGCGATTCAAGAAAGACCCGAAATTAAAGACTGAGTAATTTTATGTCCGATTATGAAAAGCTGGGACATATGGAACTTATTAACGATGACCATAACGGCGGTATCGGGGAATCATATTATATACCACATCACGCAGTTCGAAATGAAA